AGAGCATCAAGCCTGGAGTCAGGAAGACTCATCTTAGTGAGTTCAAATCTGACCTCAGACACTCACTAGCTGTGTGACCCTGGGCAAGTCACTTTATCCCGATTTGCCTCAGTTTCCTCACCTGGAAAATGAGCTGGAGAAGGAAATGGCAAACCACTCCAGTATCTCTGCCAAGAAAACCACAAATAGGGTCACAAAGAGTCAGACATTACTGAAAATGACTGAACAACAACTAATAGAGAATGGACTGAAAAAGGCTAAATGCAGGGAAACCCATTAGAAGGCCATTGTAACTGTTCCAGGTGATGAGTGCCTGAACTAGGGTAGTGACCATGTGAATGAATCAGTCAATAAAGGACACCAGTGTTCACTCTAACAGCACAGTCAAGAAGCCTTTTGTGTCTCTTGGCTAAACTCCAGTATTATCTCCCAGGAAACAGAGCTAGGATGGGCACCCGAACTCCAGGAACTCCAGAAGGAAATATTCAATAGACCAAAATGCATCTGTTGTTCCCACCTTCAATATGCCCATGGTCTAAACAAGGGGGGGGGGGGCATTACAGGATGTAAAATCAATAATTTTGATTACATCAAATTAAAAAGTTTTGCACAAACAAAACTAATACAGCCACGATTAGAAGGAAAGCAAGAAACTGGGGGAAAAATTTTTTACAGGAAGTTTCTTTGATAAAGGCCTCATTTCTCAAATATATAGAGAACAGTCAAATTTATAAGAATATTAGTCATTCCCCAATTGATAAATGGTCAAAGGATATGAACAGGCAGTTTTCAGAAGAAGAAATCAAAGCTATCTACAATCACATGAAAAAATTCTCTAAATCACTACTGATTAAAGAAATGCACATTAAAACAACCCTGAGGTACCACCTCACACATATCAGATTAGCTAATATGACAGATAAGGAAAATGATCAACGATGGAGGGGATTTGGAAAAATAGGGACATTAACGCACTGTTAGTGGAGATGTGAACTGATCTAACCATTCTGGAGGACAATATGGAGTTATGCCCAAAGGGCTATAAAATTGTGCATACCCTTTGACCCAGCAATACCACTACTAGGTCTGTACCCCTAAGAGATCAAAAAAAAAGAAAAGAAAAGAAAAGAAAAGAAAAGAAAAGGACTTAGTTGTACAAAAATATTTGTAACAGCTCTTTTTGTGGTGGCAGGGAATTGGAAATCGAGGGGATGCTCATCAATTGGTGAATGGCTGAAGAAGTTGTGGTATATGATTATGACGAAATACTATTGTGCTATAAGAAATAATGAGCAGGATGCTTTCTGAAAAACCTGGATAAAGGCATAAATGAAGACTTACATGAACTGATGCAAAGTGAAATGAGCAGAACCAAAAAACACTGTACACAGTAACAGCAATATTGTACGATGATCGACTGTGACTAACTTAGCTATTCTCAGCATAAGATGGTCCAAGACAACACAGAAGGACAGAAGAATGCTATCTACCTCCAGAGAAAGAACTGATGGAGTCTGAATGCAGATGGAAACATACTTTTTCCTTTATTATTCTTAGATTTTTTTTTAGTTAGCAGTTAATTTTGCAACATGGCTAACATGGAGATGTTTGCATGACTGTGCATGTATAATCTATATCAAATTGCCTTCTCAAGGAGGGGGAAGGGGAGGGAAGGAGAGAGAACACAGAACACAAATTTTTTAAAAATGAATGTTAAAAATTTTTGTTTATATGTAATTGAGAAAAAATAAGATAATTAAATTTGAAAATAAAAAAGACATATACCTATGGTCTCTTAACAGTCAAAACAACCTTCTTTATACCCAATAGTAGCAGGGATATTGCTGACAGGTTTATGTCAACAGTACACGAGTCCCTAGGAGCTCTCTGCATCACATCTGAGATTGTCTCTCTACAAGGGCGAGGAACCTGTGGGATTTGTTCTATGAAGTTTGCATTCAGTCAAAGGGCTGCACTTGAGGACCTAGAGGGCCACATTTCCTCTAATATTGTGGCTGCAGTAGGAGCAAACCCAAAGAGCTCAAGGCCACTCAACTGACAGAAAGGGCTGTAAGTGCAAATTCTAACTATACAATTCTGGGCAAATCACTGCCCTTGGCTTTTCCCACATGGGGGACTTTATTCAAAGGACAGGGGAGCTGAATGAGAAAAGGGACTCATTGGATCTCACTTTTTCTGAAGAGTGTCTGAGCAATCTCCCATTTTGGTCAGAGCAGTCTTCTCACAACCAAGGCAGGTAGTGCAGGGATTATCAATGTCATTTGATGGCTGAGGAAAGAAGTGTAGAGAAGGGGAAATGACCAAATCGTAGACACATCCCTGAGTGGAACGTGTCATCTGTTCTTTGGAACCCCCAATCGGTTTCTGCCCTCTTGTATTTATTTGTTTAGACTACACTGCCACAATGTCTGGCTACAGTTAACAACTCTCTCACGCCCATCATTTCATCCGAACGTACCCGTAGCTAGACCAGGCAGGTAGGATTATCCTCATCACAGGGACAAAAAAGTTCAAGCCGAAAGGTTAAGCAGCTTCTCAGGTCATAAGGCTAACCACTGGCCATGCCAGGCCTAGAACTCAGGTCTTTTGGCCCCTATTCCAATGTCTCTCCTACAATCCCACCCTATCTCTCCAAAACAGTTTTGCCAATGCTTTGTTAATAGGCCCCTGCCTATCTTCATTCAATTCAACTCAAAAGACACGTAAATTCCTACTTTGTGCAAAGCATTTTGCTGTGAACTGGGGACTACCCTTCTTCTCCTAACCCATTCCATTCCCACCCCACCCCCAAAAAAATCCTTATTCTGAAGGAGCTCATTCCACTGAAGGGAAACAAAATGTTCACGAAAGAGCAAATAAATAAAACAAAGTGAACTTCAAGAAGAGAGAATGCTCATAACCAGGGGTAAGGGTGAGGAAGAGGGCACAGGAAAGGGCTTGTGGCATCTGAGCTGGGCTTCAAAGGAAGCTAAGGTTTCTATACAGCAGTTGGGAGCCACTGAGTATTTTTTTTTAGTTGGGGAGAGAGGTGTGTTTGTGAAATGATCAGATCTGGGTTTTAGGAATATCAGTTTGGCATCTGGAAGAGGGGTGGGTTGGTGGGAGAGAGAATAAACTTTCCATACAGGAATAGTCTGCATCTGTACCAGGCATCGCGTTAGGCAGTAGGAGGGCTACAAAGAGGAATATCCTTCCTGCCCGCAGAGCTTTTACCTCTTGCTGGGAGGACCAAACAAGTACACAGATAAATGTAATACTAGACAGAACGTGGCAAAAGGAGGCTGGGACAAAGGGTGTGGGAGGACAGGGGGGCAGAATCGCAGAGAGGGGATTAAATGAAGAAATCCAATTAACCAGAACGTTATTCTCCAGTCATGCCAACTGGCAACTACAGCGGCTACAACTGTAAAGCGTCCCAGGGGCATCTCCTTCCAAACACAGAACTCTTCTAAATCGTGGTGTCTGGTACAATCCTTCCCAGGAGGATGGCGCAACTGTGAGGACCTCTTGTTTCCTAGACCCAGCCAGCTTGTGATTATCAATGGCAAAGACAGGGAGGACAGGGTCACTGCAAGCCACAGATGAGCCAAAAGAAATACTACAGCACCCTCCCCAACCCAATCTTTTAGCAGAGGAGCTCAAATACAAGAAAATTGTCTCCCCTCAGTTTAACATCCCACATCTGTCTTCACTCACTGGTGGTGGTGTTGTTCAGTCATTTATCAGTTAAGTCTGACTCTCTGTGACCCCATTTGGGGTTTTCTTGGCAAAAAGACTGGACTGGCTTGCCCTTTCCTTCTCCAGCTCATTTTAGAGGAAACTGAGGTAAACAGGGTTAAATGACTTGCTCAGGGTCACCCGGCTAGTAAGTGTCTGAGGTCACATTTGAACTCAAGAAAATGAGTCTTCCTGATTCCAGGTCCAGCCCCTACCCACTGAGCCACCTAGCTGCCACTCTCTGATAAAACTGATGATGGTGGAAGACACAGTTGAGGAAACAGGCCTATGGAGGATAAATGACTTGCCCATGGTTAGTGAGCATCACAGGCAGTATTTGAACCCAGGGCCTTGGAGTCAACAGCTGTTCTTGTGTTCCACGCAGCCTCCAAACTTACTGTTACTGAAGCATCCATCATATTTACTGCAAAACATCTAGAAAGACCCAGCGGCTGGCCTTTTAGAGGCTAGATAGTTATCATTGAAAAGACACTGGCTGAGGGCCAAGAGACCTGGTGTGCATGCCCACATCTGTCTGAAATAAAGCCTCAGACACTCTGAGCAAGTCACCAACCTCTGCCTCAGTTTTCTTATCTGTAAAATGGGGTAATTAACAGCACCTACACCTCATAGGGTTGTTACAAGGACCAAATTGCAAAGCCCTTAGCACAATGCCTGGCACATAGTAAGTAACATAAAAATATTAGCGAAGGTTTTTTATCATTATTATTATTATTATTATTATTATTATTACTTTTTCTTAGCATTACCTGGACTATTCAGGAGCCAATTCTCCAGGCTGTGAATTTTCCAGGGCCCCTGATTCTCTTTCCTCACTCCTACCACAGCTTGTGATTCTCAATAGCAGCAAACCACTGATATTCACGGGAGGATTTAAAGTTTACAAAGTTCATCACACATTCTATCAATGATCAAATGAAGGCCACTGTGCAACGGGAAGGGGCATGAATCTTGCAGTCACAGGAAAGTCACAGTACCCCAGTTTCAATCCTGTGTGACCTTGGGTAAATCTCTTAACCTCTTGGGGCCTCTGTGAGGAGTAGGTAAATGCTTTAATGAAGATAAAGTGCTTTGTAGCCACATAAGGCTATAGAAGTGCCAAAGCATGATTAGTATTTGGGTTTTAACCTATTTAACACAATACAATTCATTCCAACACAAAATTATCAAGTACCTACAATGGGCCTATATATCATTACAATCATTTGTACTGAAGCCTACCCTGAATTCTCCTAACTCACCAGAAGAGAGGCTCTTCAGGGCCAATCCACCCAGAAATTCCTTTTCCATAGTCTCCTTTGGCTTTTGTCCCTGTGAGAGGAGTTATGAAAGGGGATTCAACAGCTGTGGAAGGGACAGAACAACACTGCCCCTCCCCCTCTCCCATACACCAGCACCAGGCTGCTTTGTTTTGTCCAGGTCACACAAAACCCCCTCTCTTCCCTTCTCCCCCAGAGAACTTTCATCTATAAATCTGCCTTGAAGGTGGCCGATGCTGAGCCCACAGCACATCCTGACACCGCTGTGTGCTGGTGGGAAAGCCCTAACACTTGATCTGGGGGCCATTTCCTGCTATTGCCTTGTTTTTTCTTGAATGTTTTTTCCATTGTCTACCTTGAATACATTTTACCAGAGGGTTTTGGGTTGTTTGATTTTTTTTTTAACTGTGCTGAATTGGACAGATTATATGTGCACAGCTGAAGGCATTATACTGGACTTGCAACCCCCAGCTAGGACAAACACTCTCACCCCTTGCTAATATTGATGTGGAGTTCAGTGGGCAAAGCATAGAGTAATCAATCGACAAGCATTTATTAAATGCCTACTATGTTCAAGGCACTGTGTTTACAAAGAAAAAAAATCATTTCTGCCCCTTGAGGAAGAGCCTTCAATGGATAAATTTACAGTCTAGAGACGATACAGGAAACCCACCTTCAACCAAGCAGATAGGAGCCATGAAGCACTGCTAAACAAGGCATATTTCTTTTTCTTTTTTCCTTCTTTCTTTTCAATGGAATATCTAACACAGAGGCAATCCCAGATCAAGCTGCATAATCTGCCCTAGACTTTGTAGCTAGGTCAGGGTTCACTGGAGGAAAGGATAAATCATGATAAGACAGAGGAAACCAGAGTACAAATTGTGATCAGAAATGGCAGCTCCTAATACAGTCAGCCTTCAGCATCTTTCTCCCACCCCCTTCCTACTTCCTACTTGAAAGCTGCGGTTGAAATAGGATGGAGGGAATGGGGGAAGGAGAGAGTGAGGCAAGAATGTTCAAAGGCCAAAGGAAGATAGAGAAGACATCGTTTGGTAACATACACATTTCTGAGTTCATAGAGGGTAGCAAGTTAGCCTTCCACATAGTTCATACAGTTCCCAGATCATTATTTATGGCAGAACATTCTAACAATAAAATGTTACAAAAATTCCATTAGAATGGAAGCAACTTGAGGGCAGGGTCTCTCCTTCCTTTTGCTTATATGTCCATCCCCAGCATTTTAGCACAGTACCTGGCACATAGTAAGCACTTGATAAATTCTTGTTGAATTGAGAAATGCTAACTTACCACACACATATTCAGCCAGCCCACTCTCTAAAGTTCCACAGAATCACTGCTATCAGATAGCCTTGAATATTCCATCAAAACCTGCCCCACCTGGCTCCCATCCCTATGCCTCTCTCCTCTGGAGAAAGCTGGGATTGGAGCGTCCCAGAAGGTCCAGTGCAGGCAGCCAGCCACTGAGAGAAAGCCTGCCAGCCTATGCCATAACAGCTATGGCAAAAAATTAAAATTAAAGACATTTTAAAAACTCACTTCTGATGTTAGCCCGGGCTCTCGGAGGTGACTCCAATCAGCTCCTGTCCAAACCTCCCACGCCACAGGGCCCACAAAGGCCCATCAGGGAACTAAGTACTTTCCAAAGAGCTGAAGGGGACTGTTCTGGACAGCCAGTTCCCCTCCAGCTGAGCTCCTGCCTCCTCTCCCGAGCTGGTAAAGGTTGAGGCTCCAGAAGACTATCTGAGGCTTAACCAGACAAACAAGTTGGCATACTTCAAGGCCTAATGGAGTCATTTCCAGGAATCGAAGCAACAGAAGGCAGGGTTTGTAGCACCCAAAGCATCTCTTTTCCCAGGGCTAGGAGTTAATTAATTCCAGACAGATCTGTTAGAGAGTATTTTCTGCTTGCTCATTCCAACCTGAATATGTTTAAAGGATGACCCAGGAAGCATCATGCCTAACAGGCCATGCTGGGTACCTAAGGGATTTCAAGTTAATCTTTTCCTTTCCCCTCCTACCAGTTTCTTCCTCCTACTTTCCAATTCCCTGCAGGAGTTCAAGACTCTGACAAAACTGCTCTCTGGTCCTGAAATCCCTCGGTCTGAGCATGACCTACTTCAAGGATTCTGATGATCTGTAGGGGAAAATCCAGGGTTGTACCCTCCCAGGATAAACATCAGTGTCACTGAACCAATTCTGTTTCTGCTTGTCTGCCTAGTTTTTACTCTTGGACCTGGAAGGAAAAGCTTCCTTGTACTACCAGGATATTTGCTCTGGCAGTTTCAATCAGTCAATAAACACTCATCGAGTGCCTGCTACATTCCAGGTATTGTGCTAAGCTCTGGGCAAAAAAAGAGGCAAAAGACAGTTCCTGTCCTCAAGAACTTACAATAATCTAATGTTGATCCTTTGACAGGCTAGGTCTGAAAAATGTTCAGGAACCAGTTTAGTTGACTGTGTTGCCATTTGTCAAGCCCTCCCCCCAAACATGTCTTAATCTGAGCCCCGAGTCTATCACCTCTCTGTCAGGAAGTGGGAAGCATGTTTCATTAGGGATCCTTTGGTATTTGGTATTTGAGCACTGTATTAATCAGAGTTCTTAAAGCCTTCTGAGCTGTTTGTCTTTACGGTGTTGTTACTGCATAAATTGTTCTACTGGTTCTGCTTATTTCACCCCGCATCAATTCTTTCAAGTCCCTTGGTTTCACTGAAAGTCTCTCCTTCATTTCCGCAGGATGTTCCATTACATAATTTGGCAGCAAGGTGGTGGCACGGTGGAGAAAGTGCTGGACCTGGAGTCAGGAAGATCTAAGTTCAAATGCTACACCCCTCGGGGCAGCTAGGTGATGCAGAGGTTAGAGCTCCAGCCTGGGAGTCAGGAGGACCTGAGTTCAAATCTGACCTCAGACACTTTACACTTAACTAGCTGTGTGACCCTGGGCAAGTCACTTAACCCGGATTGCCTCACCAAAAAAAAAAAAAAATCCTACACTTCTGACACTTATTAGCCATATGACCCTAAGCAAGTCACTTAACCTCTCTCTGCCTCAGTTACTTCATCTGCAAAATGAAAAAAAACTACAATAGACATTACATGGAAAGTGTATTTTGACATCAGAAGATGAACGTCATTACCAACCGGGGAAGATCAGGGAAAGGGCCTCCTAGAACTTCTAATCCAATTCCAGCTTAAGGTCTGAATTGAGTTTTAAAGGAATTCAACAGGGGGAAAGAAGGCGGAGTACTTCCAGGCAAACAGAAGAGAGCAGACAAAGGCATTGAGGCATTGAGGAATATAGCATATTCGGGGGACAAAACTAGTTTGGCTGGAAGGGATTTTAGAGATGCTCTAATCCAATACTGTCATTTTACAGAAGGGGAAACTGAGGCCTGAGGTTGGGTTAAGTGGCTAGACTGAGGTGGGGAACCTGCGGCCTTAAGGCCACAATCAGCCTTCTAAAACCTTAAGTGTGGCTTTTTGCCTGAATCCTTAAAGGATTTGTTGTGTAAAATTTGGAGTCAGCCAAAGGTTGCACTTGAGGCCAAGGTTCCCCACCCCTGGCCTAGACTGAGCTCACAGAGCAAGGCAGTGCCAGAGCCAGGACTAGAGCCCAAGGCTTCTGCCTCCCCATCTGGGGCTCTTATCACACCTTACTACTTCCCCTTCTCCTTTACCTCAGTTACCTCTTTGGTAACCCTCCCTTATTTGGATGTGGCAATAAACAAACAAACAAACATGAAATAAAAGCAACCATCAAGTCTGTCTAGATAAAGGATGCTTTATAAATGTGAGGCGCTGGAGATCATCAACAGATAATGTCTATGTCACTTTAAAGTTTTCAAAATGCTTCACGTACATTATCTCACTTAGCCCTCACCACAACCCTTTGGGATAGGCATTATAGGCCCAATTATCTCCATTTTATGGATGAGAAAACTGAGGGTCCTAGACCTTAGGTATCACGGCCAAGGTCATAAAACTAGTAAGAGCTGAAAGCAAGATTCAAACCCAGGTCTTCTTGACTCCCTGGGAAGGAGCACCAAAAGAGTGAGACAAGAAGTGATTTATTTTTACTAGCTGTGTGACCTTGGGCAAATCATTTAACCCACTGCCTAGCCAAAAAAAAAAGTGATTTATTCTGTCAGTATAAATTCCACTGGGGCTTTCCCACACCAACCTAAATTCCACCAGGGTGAAGGTGGGGAAACAGGATCCCAAAACTCCTTTGGACACAAGGAGAGACACGTGAGCCACTGTCCTGTTTAGAGAGATAATCAAGTCTTTTGTCTCTTGTTTTGTTTTCTAGTAGCTGGCACAGAACAGGTGTTCAAAAACCTATCTTCATCAGCCGTTAACTCTTGACAGACTAGAGAAGATGCACATTCAGTATCCGTTCTCTGTGAATCAGCAATTCTAGCAGGCTAAGGATCCCAACACTTTTTGTTGTTCAGTCGTGTCCTAACTCTCAGTGACCCCAGAAAACCCACTGGGGTTTTCTTGACAGATACACTGAAGTGGTTTCCCATTTCCTTTTCCAGCTGGTTTTCCCCATAAGGAAACTGAGGCAAACAGGGTTTGCCCAGGGTCATACTAAGTTGCTGTCTGACACTCTATGTTCCATCCAAACTGGTCTAACAGCTGTTCCCTGAACTCAGTGTTTTGTCTCCCACCTTTGTGCATTTGTATGAGCTGTTCCCCAGCCTTCAAATGCATTCTCTCCTCATCAACACTTCTCAGAATCTTTAGATCTTCCTTCAAGTCCCTGCTGAGGTACCCACTCCTCCATGAAGCCTTCCTTGATCTTCCAATATCATTTCCTTATTCAAGTTATTTTATATTTACTTTATAGCATAAATATTGTTCCAGATACACAAACACTCTGTAGGTATGTCTCCATCTCTGTCTGTCTCTCTGATGGACTAGCTCTAAAAATTGTCCCTTTAGCTGTACGTCATAATCTCAACAATAGACATTCTTCACCTACTTGGTTTTCTCTTGTATGGTTAGGCCAAATTCTTTTGAATGACTATATATCTCTACAAAGAGACTCTACAATGTTGCAGAGCTTGATAGCAATCAATCAACATTTATGAAGAGCTTACCAGGCCCTGTGCAACTCGCTGGGGATACAGAAAGAAGACAAAAGACTGCCACTGCCCTCAAGGAGCTTACAATCTAATGACGTCATTTGTAAAGAGGATGGCTTAGAGAGCCTCACCATCTCTAGGAAGTTGTTGTTTTTTGTTTTTATTTTTGTTTTTCCAGTATGGTCTCTGTGCTATGTTGTTCCTTCATTACCAACTTTTGGGAAGCATACATCTCCCTGTATTTTGCCTAACTTGACATTTATGATCAGAGGGTTGTCTCTATTCTATCTTTTTCAAAGAACCTTGAATGATTTTTATGGATGGATGGCAAACAGTACAAATGACAAGAGTAAGGCCTGGAGAGCTCACTAGAATCAGGAAGACCTGAGCTTCAAACACTAGCTGTGTGACACTGGTCAAGTCACTTAACCCTGTTTGCCTCAGTTTCCTCACCTATAAAATGAGCTGGAGAAGGAAATGGTGACCACTTCAGTATCTTTGCCAAGAAAACCCCAAATGGGGACACAAAGAATCAGACATGACTCAAAAACAACTGCACAACAAATGTTTGTTACATTAAACTAAATTCTCTTTTTCCCCAAACGAGAAGGAATCTGGCCCAGCATCATTGTTATTTCTCAAGTTCCCAGTTCAATTTAATTAAATGTAATAAACATTCATTAAATACCTACAGTGTACTTCTCTGGGCCTCAGTTTGTTTCTTTATAAAATCGGGGGTTGACTAGGTGACCTCTAAGATTGCTACCACCTCTAAATCCTATGACTTTCCATGGAGTCAGATGCTACCAAATTCAGATAAGACCTGGCTGATGCCTCAAACATCAGCATTTGATTTGACCCCCCCCCCCCCCCCCGCCCTCAATTTTTGATCAGAGAAGACTCCATATACCTCCTCCCAGCTCAGCACTCAAACTTGCTCTCTCTGAGTTCCAGGCTGCAAGGATTAAAAAGCATGGCACCTACAAGTGCCCTCTGGCAGCTGCCTCAAGTACATGATGTGGTCAATCATCATCTTCGATGAATGCTTGGCACTCGGTGTCCTCAGGAGCTTCCTCTTTGGGGTGGAAACAACACTCAAATATGTTGACAAGCTACAAGTGATGGGCCATAAATATTCAGGTGTGGTCCACACACACAGAGAAACTTTATTATAATACTAACATTGTACTGCTGTATTATATCATTATATGACATATAATATAAATAATTTATTATTATAATACAAAGCATCCTTAAAGTATTAGGGCAGTTTTAAGCTATTAAAGCTTTTATTATCATATTATATGATAACATAGTACCATAATAACATATCATATATATTACATTCTCATATAAGACAATATTATAATGACAGATTTGTATATTATAATGTAATTATATTTCATATGATTATAATGCTACTATAATAATAACCTTATGCCACAGACCTTGAGGGTAGTATTATAGATTCTCTCCTCACCTCCACCTCTTAGAATCCCTAGCTTCATGGGGCAGCTAGGTGTCACAGTGGATAGAGCACCAGCCCTGAAGTCAGGAGGACCTGAGTTCAAATCCGGTCTCAGACCAAACACTTGACACTTACTAGCTGTGTGACCCTGGGCAAGTCACTTAACCCC